AACAGGTAATCATTATTTTACTTTATTAGTAAGGTTCGGATTTGAAGGCAAAAGCTTTTTTTTAATAATAATAATAGAGATATAATGTTTATAAAAAAATGCATGTCATTTAATATTTAAGATTATGAACGTATTTTTTTTGCCTTTTTTACTCATAAATGCCTTTACTGTGTTTAATTTTCAGTTGATTTAATAGTTTTATTCACGACATACATGTAACAGATCGATAAGATTTTCTGTGTCGGCTGTTAATTATTTTTAATGGGTTTTATGTTCGACGATATTTACAGATATTGCTATAAACTATGATAAAGAAAAGAGGTATGTCAGCAACTTTGTGATACGCATATCCGCCATATTGCTTTTTTCCACAAATGTGTAAGACATAGATACTGATAATAAAATTGACGGAGAAAAGCAATATGGCTGTCAACGCCATAGGAAACACATAGGAAATAGTGGGGATGCGCCAACATGATTCAAATTCGGAAAGTTGCTGACATACTTCTTTTCTTTATCATGCTAAATACGTTATTGAGTATCTGGTATGGCCAGTTAATTTAACGTTTATAAAAGTACCCATACTACCTATCTATAGATTAAAATATGTTTATAATGCGTATAAACTTACTATAGATTCAAAATTGTTCGTCTGTCCGCCCCAATTACATTTTCTATGTACACAAATATTTTAAGCCCAAACTGTCAACATTTTACTAAAGACAGTTTATCTAAGTACATGATAGTGATTTTTTTTTTAATACACACTATTTAAACATACAGTGTACAAACTATTTAATTTTTAAGTAAATTTTTTTTGTAAATGCTTTTTCTTGCCTTTTTTGACATTTTAAATGCTTTATTTCTGACTATATTGCCTTTAAAACCGAACCCTATTTATTAGTGTTGGGTAGTAATATAACAATTAATGAGCAAAGTGCCTTTATTAGTTTATTACTTTAAAATACTGTGGCCCGTTATTTATGATAAATTGATAATTAATTTTTAAGATTCTGGAATGGATGATGGAACATATCAAAGTTATGCTTTTAGTCTATTTATATGGACATTGAATATTCTTATGATGATCATAAGTCTAACCTGTCTTCTTATTAGTGATCCTATGATATATTCGGATTCAGAAGCATACCAGGAATATATGCAAATGAGAAAACAAGCTGAAGATAACTTGATTAAGGTTAGTGAAAAATATTTTTGTTATTTTAATAGCTCATTATTTCAAACAAATCCAGGGAAACAGAAAAATGGCAGTTCTTGAGCTCTCTAGATGTTTGGAAATTTTTGGTCGGCCTATTTTAACAAGTCGTAAGAAACTTTGGGCTTCATTAATGTGGCAAATTATCAGGCAATTTTTACATCAATTTAAAGTGGTTGTACTTTTGAAAAAATGGAATAATGCTGTATTTAAAAATGTGTATGATACAAAATTAAATAAACAAGGTGAAATACCTAAGTAATTAATTTTGTTTACTTCAATAGGACCAACAAGCATGAAACCTTAAATACAGCTAAACAACTCAGTGAAATTTATCATTTACTGCATAAACTGTATTTAATTAGTGAAACTGATTGGCCAATACCTAATGCTCATTGGGGTATTGGTCTATACTTAGGACTTAGTTCAATTAATATGGCTGAAGCAGCTGGACGACAAATAATTTCAGTAGAAACTTGTGTGCAACTATATTCGACCATTGCTCTTAATTTCAAAACTAGCATATTTAAAGGTGCTGGATTTTTTACCAGGTTGGTTGTTAAACACTAATGTATTAAAAAATTTTTTTTATACAACCTATTTATTACATATGTTTGTTCAAAAGGTATTATTTACATAAAGCACAAACCCAAGTGCTGAATTATAATAGATTACCAGCAAATTTGAATTGGCTTACAACTGATCATGGATTTCGATTTTTCATTGATCACAATTGGACTTTTACTCCGAGTAATGCTACATCATCATTCACTTCACTCTCAGACTATAATGATCCATTATCTCATCTGACCAGAGTATGTAATTACTAATTGGAATTTCTTATTTTTTTCTTAAAATATAATGCCTTCTTTTCTTTAGTCTTTCAGAGAAAATACCTTAGAAAAAGCTTTACAGACTTTAATATCACCAGGAACAAGACAAATTGTACAAGCTGTGGGTCATACCAAACAACCAACTGTAACTTCAGACGTTTTGCTATATGTACAGCGCATTGTAGAATCTAATTTAATTACAAAGAAACCCAGGATAATTGGAAGCTCAGAAGTTAATGGTAAGACTTAATTGCTGAAATAGAAAATGTTTAATATTTTGTTATATTTTCAGTAGTAGAGGATGAGAAAGTAGCATGGTGGGGAGCCATATTTGCTGCTGGAACTTATTGGATATTAGGTGAAGATAATGGTATAGATTTGCTCGATAAACATATCTCCAATGTTCCTCCAAGTTTATTAGTTGATCCATTGGCGCAAGCTGTATTAGCTGCTTACGAGTAACAATTTTTGTAATGTGGTAATAATTATAATTTATTAATGTCAATATTTGTTTACAGATGTCGAAATAAAGTCCAAACAATGAAACCTAGAATTTTAGAACACCATTGCCATGAAGCAAGTAAAATATTATCAGAAACTTTAATTTTATTGCAAACCAATAAGCCCCAACCAATCGTTATAGTAAGTCTAGTTTTTAAAATTGTTTAAAATTATGAAAATTTGTAAAACCATTTTTTTTTCAACTAGATGACATTGTTATTGGCTTGCGACTGGTTATTAGAAACAAGAATGCTGTCATGGCAAGAAGAGTGTAAAAAAATGCCTGCAGGCTATGTTAATTTGGAATTTTTAAACTTAAAAAGCTTCCAAGAAGATTTAACTTCCTTACGAAAAATTGCACAATTTGTTCCAGTAAGTAATTTTTATTTATTTTATGACTTTTATAGTATATGTTGTTGTTATCACATCCGTCACTTATGTTTAGTCATTTGAACCTCGCAAGGTATACATTTACGCAGAGACATATCCAGAGGCGCAATTGCTCCATCTGATCTCAAAATTGTTATCGTTCATGTGGCATACTTTTGGGTGGCTAGCCCCAAACTCCCTATTTGCATCTAGATCACCACCACTATTTTAGGGAAAATTGGTTGACCTGAAAAATGTATAGTATTAGCGCCTTACTGGTCTTACATATTTTCTTAAAACAAATATTTTGTGTTTATTTTGAATTAAAAAGTGATAATTATAGATAATAATTAAGTAGTTACGGCGCATTAGTTAACAATTAAAAACTAATATATCATTTTGGGCTGTGTATATTATGCATTAATTTGGTAGAGCCAGAATGTAATCTTATTTTAGATTCTGAACAAAGTAAAGACACTACATGTTATTTAATGTTATTTATATACATTATTGATCAGTGATCACTGATCACCATTCAAAAATTCTAGAGGTGGTTTGTTGCCTGTATAGATTTATGTAATAAAACAATTTAATTAAAGTCACTGATAATACTTCCTGTATAATAAATTCATGTTTCTCTTTGGCTAACACTGATCTTGTACTGATAGTGCCTAGTTATGTTGAAACAGAATGTTAATTTTTAATTTATAGTTGTTACCTATATCTTATCTTATTTATTAAATGTTTAATGAAATATGAAAAATATTTATAAGATTGTAATATTTGTAGTTTGCTACTGCCAAAGTATTCTTATATGAAGCAACTGTCCGGTTAATGGCTGGGGCTTCACCAACAAAAACCCAACAACTATTTGATCGCAGCTTAAGAAACAGATCAACACGACATTTTGTTATTTGCACTAAAGGTAAGAATATAGGATAATTTTTTTTTATAAACAAATATAAAAGAAAGTTCACATACCATTTTTATTTTTATAGGTAAAGGTGAACAAAGCACAGTTGGTTTAAGGGAGCATGCCACTGCGTTATTTATGGCGTGTAAACATTTACCTATGTCTCTTCTATCACCACCTGGCATAAGAGCAGGTATGTTAGCTGAAGCAGCGCGTACATTAGAAAAAATTGGTGATCGGAAAAATCTTATGCAGTGTTACAAATTATTGAAATCAATTACTACCAATTCATCAGTCACGGATTGATTTTGTTTCTATTAATAGTGTTAATGTTTGTTTATAGAATTTATTGTTGTAGTCTTAAAATTTTCCTAAATGTTTTTTCACTTGCTTTTTTATTAATAAAATACAAGATTCAACCTGTAAATAAATTGAAAAAAAAATATATACCTTACCACCCAAACTACAACTTTACGGTGTAAATAATTAATCAATAGTTTCAATGGATAATTCTGAAATATTATTTTTAATTCATATTACATAAATTTAATGGAATTTAAATTTTTGTTTTATAAAAATATAGTATAAAATAAAAAGATTTTAGGTTAGTTTTCACTTACTTTAAAAAGAAGGTAAATTATCTTAAAAAGATGACAAGTGAAGTATTTGGTATTTTTAACATCTGCTAAGGTAATTTTTTTTAAAAAATTATTTGGTATTATAAGCTTGACAGTTTACAATAGATGGTCCAAGGTCAGAATTTTCATCAAACACAAATTATAATGATTAGTATAACGTATCTAAATATGAAGCATTGATTTAACTTGTAGTCTAAAAGTAAAACAATTAACAAAAATGCCATTATGACAAATATATTTAATTACGATAATTAATTTTTTAATGTGATTTTTTTTTTTAAATTTTTATAAATAAAATTAAAACTATAGTATTTACAATAGATTTTAAAGATGTCAGGTTTTTGAAATAATAAATATAATAAAATAATTTTCATCGTAGTCTATATAAATATTACATGGTACAAATAGTGTTTTTTTTGTTTTTTAAACTGTTATTAAAACTATTTTATACGCTGTTATTACCAAAAACCCCAAAAAATTAGTATTATTGTACAATAGTTTATATCTTTTAACATAAGGATCGGTGAATGCTATGCTTTGTGGCCGGAATGATGCGATTTTGGCTGTGAGCTGTTCATAACCACCATCGCACTCGGCTTGACTATAAGATGGCCATTTGACAGTGGTGGTAATTGCTGATTTGGAATTGTCACTGCCTATAGAAAAAATGAAAAAAAGAAAATCTTCATTAATTAAGTTTTGAAAAAAACATTTTTTGTAAAGCAACACAAAACTAGTTAATTTTACATTAACTGCTTGAATTGAGAGGATGGTCCTTTTTCTTTTTAAACAATATTTGTGCCCCTAATGGATTCTAATCCTAATCAATAAAAGACATTTAAATAATCAGCTGAACAAATTTTTTTTTTTTACTTTTGCATTTTCTTTTTAATTTATTCCCAATTCAAGTACTGAATACATTACACATTTTGAGAGAACAAAATAACAAAAGACTGATTTGAGATGCTTTGCCGCATTGCTGCATGTATATAAACTCCAATTTTAATTATTAATATTTTAAATTTTCATAAATTTATAAAAATTACAACACTATATAAAAACTTTTCATATGTATAGAACAGACTATTATAAAATTAGAAAATAAAGAAATATATTTATTATTTTATGAAGGTAACCACTTACCATGTTAAAAAACAAAGAAATGTGTACTGTACAGTTAGTATATTTAATTAAACCATTTATAGAAAAGATTAAAAACATAATTCAAGATTATAGATATTAGTTATATAATAACTAATAAGTAATAACCTCCAATATATTCCGAGTCACAATTTTTTTGATTATGCAGTATAATATAGTAATATACATACCTTAGAAGAAGCTGTAGATAGTACTAGATGAGCTGGAGCAGAATTAGTATGGTGATGAGTTAGGAGTAACGGCCGAGTTATGACATGATTTGGAGTTGGCTGTCCTCTGTTCACAACTAGAGTGCACAAATTGTAGGACAAAAAAATCACGTAATTATGAGGCCTATGACATTGTATGTGAGTACCAAAATGAAGATAATATTTACCTGACGTTTGTGCCGCTATGATATTATTCTGCAACAGTCTGATTGGTGCGGACGCTGTGTTGTTGGAATGATCGATCACACTGGTGCCAATCTTTATGCCTGGCCAAAAGAACCGATATTAAAACACCGCATACCATCGTTAAGTATGTACAAAATAATGTATCCAACACCGGTCATTGCTGCATACCTGCAAGAGACATTTTGGAACGATTGGGCGTAAGTTTTGGGTCGCCGTACAAAGTAAACGAGCCATTTGACACCTTGGTCAACACTGCCTGAGTAGTGCCATCGTGTTGATCTGTAATATACACATTAGTCGAGATCATTAGGATTGACGGTCAATCGGACAGGCTTGAGAGACTCTTTATAAATACCCCGAGGGAGCTTATTATATATCACCATGGAGTTCACGGGTGGGGGGGGAATCATAGAAGTCAATAAGTAATGTTATAACTTATAATTGACAGAAAATAAATTGTTTATTAACCTATACAATTAATCTCGGGAGAGCTATAATTCATTTACATGAACTCACTGCTCACCCTTATATAAGGGGAGATGTGGTGGTCTGAACCCCCGATATTTTTTTGTTTTTTTTTTTGGACAGTATAAATACCTATTTAACGAATATTTTTCGTACCTACATAGGTAATACTTGATAGGTTTGGTTTTTTTAAAGATCTGTTCCCCCTCTCACCAATCAAAAGTGATATATACGCCACTATAATTTCACCCAAACAGGTGGGTGGGTTTGCAGTTAGGTTGGGTTACTAACTAAATTTGGATAATAGGAAAAAGTAAATTCAAAATTTTTTAGAAAATACTAATATAATCGATACTCATATAGCTAATTATATTATGTAAACCAAGTACCTACTACTTATTACTCAGAGTTGTCTGTTCAGAAATCTGAACTAATTGCCAAAGCGGTTGTTTTTCTAATATTTTAATTGAATTCTCCAATACTATTTAATCACAAGACAGAAAACAGTACGTCTGATAACGTCTAAGAGGGTAGGTATAATGTATAAAAATAAAATAATATTATAATATACGCGGTACTTACTGAGAGCATCTTTGTGATGGACAAACGTGAGGGTTTGCTGTTGCAAAGCGTTCGGTGGTAACGAGGACGAGTTTCTGGTCTGAGGAACTATGTGAATTGTACTCCCCATCATCGGAGACGTGCTGACGACCTGCACCTGATGGGGAATAATGTCGGAGACGAACGGCAGCGTGGGCGGGGAGGAACTTGACAGCGATGATGTACTACTGTACAGAGCACTGAGTTTGCTGTCGTCCGCGTCGCTAGTAACCATGCTAGCGTCCCTTTCCGTCTCGAAATCTCCGTTTATACTTGTGGCGGCTACTGCGGGAAAACGACGAGACGTCGATAATGAATAAACGCACGACGAAATAATAATAATAATAATAATAATAATAGGAAGGTATTCACAAATTTTATATCGTTTGTTCAACCCAGAAGAGGTTGGAAGTCTTTTGATCGGCTTTTATTTTAATATATTATATACCAGGAGGATGCATAACCAAGAATGCTCACTCCCATGTTTTCCTTTAGTAATTAATTTATTCAAATTCTGATCATTGGTATTTTTAAATATACTCAAAGACAAATTACCATATTATCATATTTTATTTTATTGTTAAAAAATTTCAAAAATCATATTGTGAATAACTGCGTTATTGAAGAAATAAAAGTCGTGATGATTGGGTGTCTGGGCGAGTATGTTTGGCGTGAATCGACCTGTACATAATGATACAACATCGTAGACTATAATATCAACCACCAATGAAAAGCGACGGAATAATAACGCGAAAACTGACAAATTATCCGACAAGCATATTGATGCTGCAATCGTCGTCGTGACGGTCAGGTGTTGGTGGTTAGGGGGGGGGAGAGGGGCACACTTACTAGTGGCCTTCCTGGTCATCACGTCGGGCGGCAAGTCCGGCAATAGCTTGCTGAAATCGATGTGATCCCATTTGGCGGCTAGTTCTTTCTTGAGAGACGCGTGCCTCTGTTGAGCCCAAATCTTTTCTCTGGCCAGTCTTTCCATCTCGTGCTCCAGCTCTCTTTCTCGACGCCTCAACACCTGCACCAACACAAGCACACGATCCCGCTCGATTATTGTTGTATTTTTAAAGATAATTTATCAAAACGTATATCAGTCATGATTCAAAATAAAATATTGCATATTAATATTTGCAATTTTTACATAGTATTTCGAGAAAAAAAGCTGCCCACCATTCACTCCGGGAGTTCATCGTTAATCGTTATAAAGGTACACAAGCTTCCGAAGTCTGTCTTACTTATAGTATAATAATATATTGTACTTGTTAAATTTACGATAAATCAGAGTAAATTTACCCAGTGATCGAATGGGGGGGGGGGGGGGGCGCAGGGGGACGGAGCTCCCCTATTTTTATTTTTTTACTTAACAATGTAAGATGTAGATATTGCTATCTTTGAAATTCGAAATGTTTTGCTGAAAAGTGGTATTCAAAATATATGTAAGGTAGAAACGTTGGGGGGGCAAAGCCCCCCACGTGTAGGTGTTGGATAATTGCACCCTTGGAAGTTGGAACGCAGTTTTTAAATCGTTGGTTTGAGCTCCTCTACTTAATTTTTCCCAATTCGAGCACTGAATTTAACCATAATAATATTATCTAAATTGATAATTAAATATATATTATACTATAGTATAATACCTACGCACTTTCGTTTAATGCGACTTTTAGAAGTATCTTTTAAATTAAGTATTTAAATTGTTACATTATTGTTTCTAAATACTTCTTATAAAGTATACTCATTTCAAAATTATAATACCAAAACATCATCATAGAGAGCACGGATAATATTATTTGATAATTGGAATATAATTATTATTAGTATGGGTATGCGTACGGCGTAAGACAAAGACTGCGAATTTGTTTCTATCTCCTATTGGGTATTGCGATCTAAATTCGTCAGTACACGCCTATACAATATCATCGTCGTACATGCTATGTGCGTATGTACGTATAAATCAAAACAATAACAAACACATCATTACATCTATTATAGTATTATGTACCTATTAGTTATTAGTTTATTGCATACCTAGAACCTAGATTCTACGTGCTAATTGACAGGTGGCTTATGTATATAATATTATAATGACGCATACGATAGGCGAAGGTTACCAACCGAAAACTACAATAGCGGTTATAATAAGACGTATATTAGAATATATTGCTATTAAATGTATTAGTATTAAATTAACACGTATTTGTGAAATCGGGAATTCGGAATATTATACGCATAGTACCTATACAAACTGAAACATTTGTAAAAAATCGGGGGCATGGCCCCTCCCCTGTGGGCGCCCTTGCCTACGCGAATCCAGCGAGTTCAGTGAAAAACAAAACAGCTTGCCTCATAGGACCGCACTGCACTGCGGCGGAACAGTGCTGGTCAGAATAGAATTCGCACTCACTCACGTAGGGCACACGAAATCCTATACTGTCTTGTAAATTGTAATATAGCTGTTCGTCAATATAAGTACAAACGAGCTATAACGTTACAATGTTTTCTTCTAGGAACCTCGTTATATTTTAAACGTTAACGGTCTACACGTGGCACCTAATTAGGTAAGTGGCATAACCAAAACAAATAAATTATCTTTGTAATAATAAATATGGACATGCCTCGAACGCGGGCCAACTTAGGTTGGAGTTTTGAAATGTAACACTTCTCAAACGACTGTTGATCTCATGGTTTAATGACCAGCTAAAATTATATCGATGAAATAATAACAATAATGGTTAGGTACTGACAAAATCTATCACTTTTCATAGAAGTTTTGATAATTTGATGGTTTTTCATTTAAAAAAAGTTATCATTTTAAAATATAAATGTTAATTACATGCATAAATCATTATGCATAACAATCCATTACATGCATCTTTTGTTAGTGCGCCGATACGATTCCGCAATCAAACAGGCTTGTTTTGGTATTTTTAAATTTGAATACTTAGTAGTTCTAAAATAATCTATTTTAGTATTTTATAAATATTATTTTCTTCTATTTAGAATATTCAATATAATTAAAAAAAAATTATTTTTAAGTTAATTGGTTTGAGATTTACGGTTTTGTATACTTCCGATTAATTAACCGGTTCTAAAAATAAACGGTTACCGTTATAGATTTCCCCCTTTATCAAATTCCGTGATTACCGGTAATTGATAACCACTTCTCAAAATTGAAACTCGAGAACCGGGAAGCGGATACCAGTCCAAAAAGTACTCATGGTAACCGGTTACCGGGAAAAATAGGTTACCGGTTTCAAGCCCTGCTAAATACTAACGTAAAGCAAAGCATACATTTGTATAATAATGAATGAATAATAAATTACAGAAAATGATATCGTTTACATATTATAATATATATAATACGAGAGCGTGAACGAAAGAAGTATAAAAATACTACGATAAATAAATTGTCATAAAAAATTCACTACCGAGAAAATGAAATGTATTGTTTTTCTTAATTGCTTGGCATCGCAATTCGCCAATTGCGTTCGGTAATTATTATCAAGAGCTCCTCACCGCTCTTTGAATACAATTTTTTTATGGACATTTAAAATATTATGTGTGTACCTACATAAAATAACAAAAATATAGGCATATTAAAAACAATGTGGTCGAGGTGACGTTAATCACTCATATTATTATTTAAAGTGTACCGTTGTATTAACGATGGTATAGATCTTTTATACTGGTTTTTTTTTTTTAATGACTTTAATTTTTTTATTATTATTTTGTTCATCGCTATCTGCTGTCACTAATTTGTATTTAAATGTCAATAAAGTTATTTGAAAAGCAAAGACGCGTGTTCCTCAATCGGAAACACAATTGTATTATACGATTAGCATTTATGCATTTCAATAAATTCGATATCGGTATATGTTTTTGTGATAAACGTGTGAAACATAATATGTATAGACGTATAGTGTGAATAGTATACTCTGAAATCGAAAAATGTAGTTCTATTATTCAAAAGACTCGCATATAATATACCTCAGGCACGTAAACATGTATAATTGAGCCATAGTAATAATATGATGTTAGATCCGTTTTCGTCAAGTATCTATACTATTTTTTTTAAGTGCCGGTTTTAAAATAAAAATTGAATTATTTTCTCTACGTGTTATGCCGATTTCTGATCTTAGTGTCGCACACATAACGTGTACAGAGTGGCAAACGTGCATAATATACAGAGTGTTGTATAAAAACTGTCACCGCCGTCTGTAGGTCATGGTTACGCACATGTGAACCATGCAAGGATGACAGTGCCGCGGGCGCAGCCCGGGGCGGGACGGAGACATGGTGGAAAAAAAAGCTTATACCCATGTACAATAATAGTAGGTGTCTATATATATTACGTATGGTTCGTGCGATCTTTACAGAACACACGTGGAAAAAACTAATAAATAAACAGTAGAAATCAATTCACGGCAGCATGCGGACCGGCAAGCCTTCCACCCATACCACAACGATAAGTATTACAATGAAATAATAATGTACATGCATGTCGAGTAGAATTTTGTTTTTTTTCAAACCATTTTATTATTGAAATATATTGAATGCTATTACCATTGACTATGGTATATTATGAAGAGAATAGCAGTGAAACACAATATAATGTTAATACTAGAAGTCAATAGGGTTTATAATTGCTAAATACTTACTTACTTAATTCATTAATATAATTGAGGTGTTTAATTTAAATTAATAAAAAAATATTATAACTTATAAGCTTTAAATCCGACACCATTTGATAATATTAATAAGGAAATTAATGGACGGGACATTAGCTTTATCTCTGGGATTAGATTTTAAGAAGCAGAGACACGACACCATGTTTTGTAGTAAATTAGTAACATAGATTATTCGCTTCCGTTGGCCACCATTCCAATAATCCAATCACAGAAACGAGGAACTTATTCAAGTTACTTGCAGTCAGGGGCGGATTGGCGAATTTTTTCGGCCCGGGAAATATGGATCAAACCGGCCCTGCACCGCAAATGTAACCCCCCACCAAAAAAAAATTTTCATCATTTTACTCACATTTCAAAATTTGTTTAGTTTCACCCATAAATTAGTAAAATATATAATAGGTACCTATAATTAAAGTTATAACAGTTTAGGGTTAGTCAGATAAGGTTAACCTGTTCTAACTCGAACTTGAAGTTTAATCTTTTTACATTTTAGATTCTGAGCGAAGTGATGAATGTATTGATTTTACAATGATGTGTTTTTTTTAATTTTTTAATTTTAATTTAATTTTTTATTTTTGGGTCTGTCATCAAATTTTAGGACAGTAAAAATAGTAAATACTTAGATTTTCTTCAACTAGATTCACTTTTCTGATAGGAAAGTTAATCTAGTTGGTACTTTGGGGGGTCAAAAATAAAAATGTCCTGGTGGCTTTCAAAATTGTCTTGAAAAACAAAAGAAAAATTAAGTAAATCGGGGAATTTTTACGCAAAATCTGTTTTCGAGAAAATCGATTTTGGTTTTTGAAGCAACTCCATAATAAATATGACTATATAGGTACACGAAATTTTGACCGTATGTTTATATTAGTATTTTCTATACACCATAACATTTTGACTTACTTTGAGCTGTTTAAGGACATTTTCAGTTTTTTTTTTCTATAAATATCAATAAAATTTTATTTGTTGGTTAAAAAGCTTGAAAATGTAATAAAAATCTCCTAGTATATTGTTTCAAAGGCAGATGAAAAAAATTAAAAATCCAGTCACAATTTTTTTCTATAAGCATTTAAAGTTCAAATATTGACAAAATACGTAAAAATAACGAAAGTTTGCAAAATATTTTGAGTTATAAATTCGTAAACAAATTTTAAAACACATTTTTAATACAAAATTCCTCATAAGTTTGTCTACCTTTATCAAAAAAAAAAATGTCAACAAGAAAGTCAAATTACATTTTTATGACCTTCTGAAATTCAAATTTTTACAACATTTGATATTCACTCGATTTCTCATGTAATGATTTTCTTATTTTGTTGTGATTAAAAAACGAATGACTGTAAAATGTAGATACTTGAAAATTTCACTGAATATTTATATTAGCATTTTGTATACACCATACAATTTTGAAAATAATTATCTCTTTTTGATGTTTTAACGGACCATTTCAAATTTTAATTTTTTTTAATTTTTTTCTATAAATACCAATAAAATTGTATTTGTTGGGCCAAAAAGTCTGAAAATTGAATACAAGGCCCCTGATATATTGTTACAATATCAGTTAAAAAATATTAAATATACATAGCCATACATTTTTTTATAAGCAATTAAAGCTCGAATTTTGACAAGATTTATCAAAATTTAATAATTATTTTGTTGTTAAAAATTTATAAAATGTTTAACATGTATAGCTATACATGTTAGCTATAAGGATTGAAAATTTAAAACAATTTTCCAGGTAAATAGATTCCATTAACCGTTTTTTCTTTTTTTCTCGTACCTTTTCAGCTCCACCCTTCTTTCGTTTTTCACCAGCATCACACATAATTTAAATTGCACAGTTCAATTGAATTTGTACACTAAACACACTTCTGTAAGTACAGTAACTCGTTTGTGTAAAAAGTTCAAAATCAAAAAAAAATACAAATAATGATAAGATAAGGTTATCAATGTTATCACGTAACTAAATTCTACCATAGAGTATAAAATATAAATAATAAAATACCAATACCACAGATTTCTAAATAATACATTAGCATGAATTGGAGGGATAATAGTGATGTAAATACCAAAATTCCTACTATGAATTGCAATAGTTAAAGATATTAAAAATAATACTCGTACCTTCGTAGGTATTTGATTTTTAATATATTTTATGCTTAATTTATAAAAATTTAATTTTTTTTGTAATTATATTGTAATAATTATAGCGGCCCTGCAGGCCCTCACAAGAACCGGCCCATCGGGAAGATTCCCGATTTCCCGATAGGCCAATCCGCCCCTGCTTGCAGTTTATATTGGCATTTTCCTTTATTATCCACATTATGATAATAATTCATAATAATTATTAATTAATAATAAACGTATCGTAACATTAATTGTTATATTATATTGAGCGACAATCTGCAAACCTCAGGTGTGAGTGTGAACTGGTATAGTCTATTATTCTAACGTATATTATATCATATTATCACAATGATTATGGTAAAGTTATCGATTTACTCTTGTGGAATCGGCGAATAAAAATAAAATCAAACTGATTTCGTGGAAAGTAAATTTAAATCATAAAAAATATACATAACTGATCGACTCCACTGTGTTTGTTTATAATATTATTATAAAACCGTCGCAAAAGCTCCTCGTTTGTTTCAGACAAAATATTTTACGATTTATAATTTAAAAACGCTCAGAGTACCTACACCTATATTGCCAAAAAAAGAGAGAGGATAACTTAAATTCGTTACAATATAAACGCGACATTGAGTAAGCGTAAAACAGATTTTTCGGAGAAGTTGACCTCACGCGTGATGGTAAGTGCGCTTATATAATGTTGTTTGGAGTACGCGTATATACTATATGTGTATGTATAGACACATAGTATTCCAACATATTATTATATTTATAGACGGCGGCGGCACCATTCAAGGGCGAGACTCGGTGTAAGGTAGGATACCTCAATCGTAGCGTGGTGTCAAACCTATTGTGTATTATACCGTTGCACTTTTACCGAAAAAAAACCCGGAGATAACCCACCTTCCCTCCTATCCAGCGTATACAGTGAATCTGCAGCTAAAAACGCGAACAAGAGTTGGTTAATATCGTGAAAACAGCGCCAAGTGCGTACATTACACCGTCGTTTCAAAGTGGAAGTGCCGGTCGAGATAAAATGTTAAATCCACATTTACTGCACTTCTGCAGAGACAACACCATTAGATAAAGATACGTCGAATGATGTGATTTGTCAGATCAAAGTTTTATACTCACCAAAAAGGTTGTCAGTACTTGCACGTTTTACACAAAAATATATAGTAACGTATACATTATTATTAGTATTATTATTGGTGGTCCTATCTGAAAAAACACACGAGGCCGTTGTCGGCGGCTGCTTACTGTGGGCCTATATTATAAGCCGTGTATATATCTATTAATATATATCTACGATAAACAAGAACAATACCGATTAATGGATAACGTGTGAAAAAAATATAGTAATAATAATATAGGTATTAAAAGACTCGTCACAATTCTGAAAACTCAGATGATAGTAATTTGTTGGATATAATATTATATAGTGAGTTGATGGGCTTACCTGGATATACCGGATAGCGCTCCTGAGTATACTCAGGTTAGAAGTCTTTTTCTCGTCTTGAGACGCGGGTACTTGTTTCTTGAGCAGCTCGAAACATTCTTTAAGGTGTGCACGACGGTTCTTCTCCAATTTGTTGTGCACTTCTCTGGTGCCAGATCTAAAACGACACCTTATTGTACAACAGCATTCTTAATTCACAAACGATAACAGAGATAAACGTTTGAACATGTTAGCAATGTTAACATTATCTATTATGATACTAAACAACTAACCTAACAGTAACAAACTAATTGTTATATCATATACTAGTTGACAAGTTTTACTTATATTTTTAAACACAAAATATACAACGTAAAGAAATAACAAATCAAAATATTGAATATAAACTCTAATGGGAATAACTGTATTATACAGTAATACTGAACAAACGTCCTCTATGTACCTCAGATACCAATAACACTATAAAGCGGATGGATCTTTTTAGTTTAATTTTATTTCCGGTCTTCGGGATATATTTTTAAAAAAGTTGAACATTTTCAATGACAATTTATCAGGCATTGGTGCCCTAAAACGTAGTTACTGAGAGGAGATTGGGTGTTCAATATTTTTAGACGAATCGATTTTGATGAGTACCTAAATTTACCAAGTTCTTGAGAGAAGACGATGTTTTGTAAGTAACAAATATAAAAGTGTAATTTTAACTCCAACAACGACCCCTAACCTACTAAATAAAGCCTAGTCCAGGATAGGATATTGACTACTACAATAATATTATATGGGAACGAAGAATAAACGTGAATAGTCGATAAAATATATATATACTTGAAAAACGCAACAATTATAATACATATTATTATACACCTGGTGTTGTTATACGCATCGTGGACTTCGTGGAAACATCTATAGGTACATTATTATACTATTAATTACATTTTGTCAAAACTTATGTTTGTAAGATCCTTGGGAAATGCGTTAGGAACAGTATAGATTATAGAACCAACAATATAATTATAATTTATAACGAAACACTTACCCTGTGCGTCTTTTGAGTTCCTGCGCCAAAGACAAAGCAGAGACATTATCGTCGTGGCTGTTGACTAGGGCGACAGTGGTGGTGGTGTTGTTATTGTTGTTGTTGTTGTTAGCGGTTACAACTGCCGTACAGGCGGCAACAGCGGGCTTATATACGGCGTGGTGTTGCTGTAGAGGTTGATGTAGTTGTAGTTGTTGTTGTGGTGGTTGTTGTAGTTGTTGCTGTGGCTGGTGTAGCTGCAGCTGTAGCTGTTGTGTGTGTTGCTGCTGAAGTGCGACGGGGGTGACTTGCTGGTGTAGCTGTAGCAATTGCTGTTGTCTCGGTGGCGTGGACGGCGGTTCGATGTGGTTTAACGACGCCGGTAGATCGGAACTGGGCAATGTTACCGAAGTAGGATGGTAACCAGCATCCTTGTTACTCAACAACGGCTCTTCTAAAAGCAAAACAAACACGTAATAAATATCAACTGTAAAAAGATATAACTATTATAAAAACAATAACAACAATAATAAAAGGATGTGATAAGGCGAGTATTATGACGTATACCCAGGAGATAATGTCTGATCCATTTTTTTTTCGGTGGCGCCACCCAAGTGTCCACGTTTAAAATCAAAACTCCCATAACAACAACAACGACAACGATTTAAAAACAACAGAGGGTTATTGTTTCCACGGTCCGCGATTCTTTAGGTCGCCGAAGAACAGAATAAATCGTAACAAGCTGTACACCATGGTCTGCAAAACATCGGGATGATAATATTGCGCGAGTATGTATACCGGAGGAGTCGACTTGTCTGAGCTCGGCAATGGCACTGCGCGAGAGGCATTGGAAACCGAAAGCAGTTTTGGGAGAATCGCACGGCGGCGAGTAAAGCTGAGAACGTCAACGGTGACGTCACACCAGGCCGCATCTCCTACCACCACGCGCCGCCCACCGACGGAGAGCGTGTTCGGCCGCCGCGCCGGTTTCGTGATAGCACAAGCCACACCGGTATAATAATATAATAACAAGTAAATAGGTATATAGTATATTCCAATAAATAATAATGTTGAAGATAATGTGTTTGCAAGTCTCACGTGTGGCTGGCTGGGCGGGTATAATATTATTTTCTTATTTGTCGTTCCAGCACTTGAATATTGAAAAAAATTAGAAGGGGTACCTACGCATTAACATTAAAAAAAAAAATCAAGCACTGTGGAGTTCAAATATATCCCCACCCACCCCATGTATTTTAATATGCAATACTGCAGACCTATTATAATAATATATTATTATAAACGGCCGTGAACCAGACGCATTTTTAATTTACACAACATAATATAATATATTATCAGTTTATCGCCTCAAAAACGCAATTGGCGACAAAATCCATAATCAATATCGTTAGTATAAATATTTTGTGTGTTGTGTGTGTACAACATTATATACACGTTGTTATAGCACTACAGCGAATAGGTAGGTACCAGTTAGACCCTAGGTACGCACGCGTAGACGTGCCATGCTGTTATTATAACCCACCGTAAAAAATATTATTACACTCCCAACATTTTTTTGCCAACGTACAACCATACAATATGTATTTTAACATTGTAATATGTAGGTACACGACACACGTCCGTGACGTCCAATACAGTTCGACCGAAATGTGTGAACCCGACTACGGTTCGCGGATGGCGATTGGACCTCGCGTCGAGGGTGGGAGTGAAGTGGCAAGAGAATACCTATGAGCACCGTCCGGAGATGAAAAATCCGTCACGTATACACACACTACAAAATTGTATAAATTATATTATGTTATAATACGAGTATATAAAATATATATAGGTACCTCTACAAGAAAGTGCAATATGTAATAATATTATAGGTACCTACCTACATACGCATTATTTGTAACTTTGTTGGTCCGTTAATCTTTTTTTAAAGCAAGAGTATGCTAAATATAAAACGTATACACAATGTTGTTCTATCAGAGTAGTATAGTACAAAATAATATATGTTATATACCTATCATTATTTTGACAGAATTATTTTTTTTTTATATTACTCTTATATTTTCGAAATTTCAAATACTCACGAGCCGGTATGATAGAGACAAATAAAAACATACGGGTATAATATCCTCTTTAATATAAACAGTTTGTATTTACTATTTCTCACCTAATAAATATTATACTTGCATATACATACAAAAACAAAATACTAGCAGATCATTTAAGAGGATGTTAGCTCACTATTTGTTTTCTCTCACTGACCCATACGCAACACAGACAAAACGCATTTGGGCAGAATTGTTTTTTCTGTGTTTTTAAGTTATCTTAGGGTAAAATCACCCATTACAAAAAAGAGAGAGAATAATATTTTTGACAGAATGACATATCGATTTGTCTAAATATTGTTTCAAAAAAATTTAAACATCATTTAAATTTACGAATTTTTTTTGTTTATTTTGAAAGTCGAATACAAAGTCAAATAACAATAAAATATAAAATCGATATGTCATTCCATCTGAAATATTATTCTCTATCTTCTTTGTAATGGGTAATTTTACTCTAATATTACTTAAAAACATAGAAAAAATGTGTCTGCTTAAATGAGTTTTGTATATGTTCCGCGTGGGCCAGAGAGAGAAAACAAATAGTGAGCTAACATCCTCTTAAATAGATAGTATAATTTAATATTTAAAAATTATTTGTTATTTTAATTTTAATATTATTTACCAATTATTTATATAATATATCTAAATCTTATATTTTTCACAAAAATGAAATATTAAGTTAAGTTGTAATTAGTTGGTCTTTTTTTAATTTTCTGTAAAATCGTTATTAGTTATCAAGTAAGTATTTACCAAAATATGTTTTAAAAACTATATCGGAAATACAAAAGCTAAAAAATGTATTATACTCTGTGCATTTATATGTCTATAATATATGGTCTTGAATCGTCAATGGAGCATTGTCAATATATAATTTAAGAGATGATAAGAAATTGTTATATGGCGCTTGTCATAGACAACAAAACTACACGTGTTCAATAAATATTTTCTTTGCATATATTCTAAATTAATTAAATAAATGTAGGAAAAAAAGTCATTTTTTAAAAACTAATTTCGGGGGTACAAAATTGTATAATATACTACACTTGTGACAGGTATCATCTTTTACGACTTTTTCTTTTAGAAATTCTGGACCCTTAGCTTTTGCATAGTAAATGCATGTTGTATATGTATGTTGTGTCATGTTTGGGTGGGAAACAGATATTAATATCATATTTTAGATACGTTTTATCATAGTGTTTTGTAAATACTCCAAATACTATAAATCAATACAAAAAATTTAACCGTGTTAGAAATATTAATAGTGTCTATACTTCAAACACGATCAAATTACATTTTTTCTTTTGTTAAACTGATTATATAATGAAATAAATATATCTTAATTTTCAAACAGACAGGTTAGTAAATTATCCTTCATATTTAAAATAAATTATATTCTCTAACACAACCTAATGTATTATTTAATAAAAATTATTATTGTATTTTTCTAGTTCATAATGATAATTGATAACTGACAAGTATCACTGTTTATTAGTGTATTAAGTATACCTTTATGGTATACACTACACCTTCATCATATTATGATACTAAGTACAATGCACCTCACATAAAATACGAGAAATTCGACAATCGTTGCAAGACAACTTTGCACAATATTTAAATAATAGATTAAAGAAAATAAATTTTTAACTGGTCAACCATCTATATAAAAGCATACCAACTAGTAACTTCCATGTTTCTATACGTAATTATTATATGCCTAAAATAAAATACATAAATAACACGAAAATATAATTAATAATTATCATAAGATATAGGTAAATAAAAAAACACATTCTTTAAAAAATTGATAAAGGATAATATTTGAAATAATTATAATAATATAACTTATACTAAGCTTAATCACCGAATCGAAATCAGTATATTTAAGTTTACTGTATTCAAACCGAAAATACGTCCAAGCAACGGTAAATGGATATTTCCCCCTCCCATTTTATTGCAGTTTATTATTGACTAATTATATTGAATTTAATAATATTATTATATTATTATTTATTAGGTATTTAATATGAAATTATTTTTTTTTAATTAAAATACATAACAATTTTTGATATTCATAAATATAATAGATTATAAATGTATATAATATGTTTGATCAACTGAACTATTTGAAACAATAAATAAAAATAAAAAAGTAACTACAAAATATAATTAATAATAAATAAAAATTGCTAAAAATTATACATTTTGTATAAAACATTTGATTTCTGATTCTTTTGTTATTTTGTAAACACATATTTTTTAGCCTTTATTCAAATTCATTTTTTTTTTTTTAAAGTATCAGTTTGGAAATTTAACAATATCATAATTGCTTGTGAATTTGATTCAAGTAGTTCAGTTGATCAAAAATATACATCTATAATTTATTATAATTATGAAAATATTAGAAAATAGGTAAAAAAAATATGTCATAATACCTAAATAATAATATAATATTGTTAAATAGTAAACTTTTAAAAAATGGGGGGGGGGAATGTCCGCATCAAAAATATGGTCAAATGTAAGCTCCTACACCCTACACGAATAACCTTTTTACCTGAAAATCAAAAATAGTGTAATTTCCTACATAGACATCTTTACCTGAAAAAAAAAATAGGGTAATATCCTATACTCCAACATTTTATTTGAAATTTTGAACACACGATTTTGAAATCAAAAGCTAAAATGATAAGTTTAAAATGATAATATACAGAGTGTAACAGAAAGAACTGACCAAAAAAAAAAAAATTATGCTACTTAAGCATTAAGGGTATAACAAAATTTGTTAAAATTATATGATTAGTAAATAGTTTAAGAAATATACCCATGTTAGCAAATTTCTAAAAATAATATTTTTAAAAAAGTTATTGGGTACCAAATTAATTTAATCGAAAAAATATTGATATTTAAAAAAATTCTAATTCTAAAAATTCTAAAAAAATTCTTTTACACTCTGTATATTATACATATATGTATATATATTTATATATTTATAGATAAAATACAAACATTTGGTTAATGATTTATTTTAATTTGATTATTGTTTAAGTTTTTATTGATATAGGTAGCTGAATTAATTTTTGTATAATATTTATTAATGTATTGTAAGACAGACATTTTATTTTGAATGTCGATAATACGAAGACATATATTTTTTTCTACTGATTTCTGTTTAACATAATTTTGATTTTTTTTACCTATTTATACATAAGGAAATTGTTTTTTTAATATTTAATAATGTATGGTAATTAATTAATTAAACGATTTAAACTGGAGGAAATTATTAAATTTGACAATTTATGTAAGTATGCTAGGTGCTAACAACAGCGGTGCAAGTCCA